CCCTGAAAGGTGCCAGCGTCGCAGGTGATCATTTATTTATGTACCTTGTTTCCTCCACTGAGCACAAATGGCGCGAGTCTCGCTTGCCACCATCCCTCCCGCCTGGCACGCTCTTTGCACACTGCTCCCACTTAAGAAACACTGCAGTTCTTATAGGGGACACCCTTGTTTAGCAGGGCTACCAAGAGGCACGGCTCACGAGAGAACAAGTGGATACACTTTATTTTGTCAGAATTCAAGACACAAATACAAAGGAAACTGGAAAAGACAAACGGTGTGGAGAAGGCACTTGCAAGTTACACGTGTGCTAAAGGCTTGTGTCCACAGTATAGAAAGAACTATCAGGGCCGGAGAGACGGCTCCGTGGACGAGAGAGCTCGCCACACAACCATGAACTCCTCCCTAGAGGCTGCAACGGTTGAGAAGAATAGGCTCCTCAGAGGCTAGGCTCCCAGTCTGTTTTGTGAGGTCTCTGAGTAGACACTCTGTAATCAGGGCTCCCCATCACCCAGTGTGTCTGTCAGAGTGGCTCCCATGGCTGAGGACAAGTCAGTAAGAGCTGGCTGGTTCATGCAACAGCCCACAACATCCTCCTGACTGGGGCAGCTTGGCACGTGGGTGCTACAGCAGGGGTGGTAGGGAGTGGAGGGAGCCTGCTGCTGGGAGGCCTAGCTGTCAGGGAGAAGCCACCTAGCCAGTGGGGCTTTGTCACAGCAACCCAAATCGTCTAACACAGAAAATAGGCTAATTTGTTGTTAAAAAAATAAGTTTTAAATTTCTAATTGAGTGAAAGGCAGCTCAGCAATTGAGCAGACACTGCTCTTGCGGAGAACCCAAGTTCTGTTCCCAGCGCCCACTGCAGGCGGCTAGCACTTGCCTGTAACTCCAGCTCCAGGGACCCAACACTTGTGGCCTCTCGTGTCTTTGGGTTTATGTTTTAAATACTGATAAGTATAGTTTATCCGTTTGTTCTTTCATGAGTCATGCCTCTTGTAACCTTGTTAAACAAAGGTGTTCCATAGACCAGACTCCTGTACATACACACACACGCACAAAATGAAAAATAAAATAGTCTGAAACATTCACCCAATGTGTAATTTGCCATTTTAAACTCCACACACATGCATATACACATGTAATTTAAAAACGAAATATATCTAACACATTCATACAGTGTACAACTTATCGTCTCAGAGTGGGCAGCGCAGTGGTATGTCGCTCACACCGTGTGGCCGTCCATCCCCTAAGTCCTTCATCTTCCCAAGCGCAAGTCTTACAACTCCTTTGGTTTGCTCATGACTGGCTTCGTTTGCTTAGTGTGTCAAGGTTTGCTCTTGCTGTCTTGCCATGTGTCAAAAGCCCCACTCTGCTTCAGGTTGATCAACACACAGCCACACAGAGAGCTTCTTCAAACTCCCCTCTGACCCTGCCTGCCCAGTTGCCCCAGGTCTATACCCCAAAGGTCCGGCACAGAACTGAATGCTTAGCTGGGGTGACCCCTGTCCTTCTTGGTCAGAAGCTGTCTTTGTCTGGGTGAATGCTGGTCCTGTCCTCCAGGGGTCTGAGTGTGTGTAGGTGCCCAGCCCTGGTCAGAGAATTCGCTATAGTTAGCAGGCCCAAGGGAAATGTTAGATTTTCTCGTCCTTCCACAGCCAAGTTTCCGAGGTGCTATCTGAGAAGCCCTGCCAAGGGTAACGTGACATTTACATGACACCAGGTGGGGCTGCTATGGTGACATAACAGGAACGGGGGGTGTCTCTGGGCATGGAGCCCACAACTCGGCACAGTCTGGTGATTCCATGTTGTGTAAATTAAAGCACTAGTCACCTGTTCCTCCAAGTCACGGCTGAAACCGGTACCCTCTGATACGACAACAAAACCACGATGTCTGCCACCTCTGCCTGGGAACTCTCCTGCCTTCCTTCCTAGCTCTTTTCTAAGCAGGGTCCATTTGATGGAGTATTATGAACTTCCTTGGTGGACACGGTGCCAGGAGCTTGAGCGCACTAGCTGTCGGCACAGTCCTTTGCCCTCAAGGCCTCCAGCAACCAGTCCACACTCTCTCACTGGCTAAGGCTGCTTACTTACAGGCAGGACTTTTGTCTGCCTGTCAGTGACACGGAGTAGACACACCCGACCTCGGCACTGGGGCACCTCCATTAGAAGGCAAGTAAAGCAGCTTCACCACCCAAAGTGGCTCTTGGCAGAAGCTACTGTTGCTGGCTTGGTCCTTAGATGAGGAAGTGGCCATCTCTGCATATCTTAGAAGTAGGCCCTCTTGTGGGTTTTTTCACTCTCTGGAGATGGGTAGAAACCATGAGGACTGCTTCCGGAGGATGACTGACCTCCTCTGAGCGACTGACACAGGCAAAGCAGTCTGGGGTTGATAGAGGCAGGGGGCAGGTCCCACTCTGTCTATACAATACCAGCTCTTCATGGCTCGATACCCACAGGGCCTGGGTTTCCTATTTGAGTTGTCCAGCATGTCCATGATGGCCCT